GTCATCCGATATATATCGTTATATTGAACAGCCCTACTGAGCGGTGTACCATAAAGACAGACATAATGAGTTCCCTTATTTTACATGACTTGTGCTAAACATATAACCTAGTCCGAAGGAGATTATACACGTTACTCAATCTCAAACTGCTGAAGAAGAAAATTTATCCCACAGAAAGAAGCCGAGCAGTACAATTAAAGCAGAATTGGTGCACTCTCAGAAATGTACCTGAATTCATTTAGAGATAAAGAAAACATATTTTGATGCTTGGTTCATTTTATACCAAGTCTGTTTTACAGTGCCAGCAATACAGCTAATAGAGCATAAGCCTATTTCAAGGCTAGTTATCAACAAGCAACAAAATCAAAGGAAATGTTTTCACTTTGGAACAAAGGTAAACACCACGTCATCTTCATTGGTATATGGGAGACACACTGAGTAATGTGAAGATTCCATGTCACATGAGAAACAAACAGTAGCACTGAGAATGTACTAAGTGACAACATAAACAAATGTATGAATTCACATGATTTTCTGCAGCACTGCTTTCTTTACTTATATGTAACTGGATTAAGAAAGAAAGCTGCCAACCACGGTGGTGATACTGGGGGTTTTGTCAAGCTGTGTAATGTAAAGAAATCCTGTTTATGTTCACAGTGTCACAGCACAGGTCACTCCACTGGACAAGTACAATAGATTTTTTTTAAGTACCAAGAGAAAAGACATACCTTACTGTATGTCATGTGCCCTTCCATGTGACCATATTAAGCAAAACATGGTCAGTATTGATGCACTAGTAAGCAAAATATTACACCCAAAAAAGGGAAGTTAGTCCAAAAGTTAAAACCACACTACTCAATTGAAGCGAATCAAACTTCTGTGATGGTTGAATTATCAGAAAGCTTCTATAGGTTGAAGAACAGAAAACATAGAAAGGTGCTTAAGCCATGTGAGATATTGGTTGCCTCCTCCACCCAGTGAGCTAAACTAGTGTCCACTAACCTTTTGTTTTTTATTTTAAGGAAGAGCTTTACTCCCACCCAAATATTTAAACCAGACATTATGCATCTATATTTCAGCACCACAAATTCATTGTGATAGATACACAGAAACAAGAGTCTGTTGAGGGTCACTCCAGTTTAAAAAAAAAAATGTTGAGAATGTCGACGTGAGGTTAAAGGAATTTCAGAGCAAGAAAAACAAATAACGCCACCTAGTGTGTGACTGAAGGCTTCACAATAAATGTGAACAAAGCCAGAGAGGCCACAGATGAAGGGGGGCACAGCTCTGCCCTCCCCCAAAAAGGGAATGCTGAGGTCAGGAGGAAACACCTGACCTCAGCTGAATACCATCACACCTTGAAATGAGCAGGAAAATGAACCCATGACAGATGAATCCAAAATGTGACATCTGTTAAGTTACCATAATTAGAATAAAAGATCCAGCAGACTCTTACCTTTCCACCTATTCGGACCTGAGCCTGAAGTTTAGCGAGCTTCTCTTGATTCATAGTGTTCTGTTTTGAAAGTAAAAAAACAAAACACACATTTAACGTGATTTTATTCCCATGCTTATCAAAGAGGGGGAAAAAACAGTTTTTGTTTTTTTCAGCTCTTAATACCACCATCTGCCTGAGGAGCGCCGCATGCTGCTGCTGAAATACAATAGTCCCAGCATGAGCTACAATAATCCCCCAAAATAACAAACTGGAAATGAGCTGACTGACAATCTAATCGTTATACTCATCCTGCTGACCATTATACACTGAATGTGATGAAGAGATATATCCGGGCTTTGTCGTTTTAAATTACATCCACGATAACTGTAGCTAGTTAGGCTGCTAACTAGTTTAGCAGCTAAGCTAATGCTAGCATTAAGCCAGAAGAAACAAGCTGAACGCACCTGCTTTGGTATCGACACCTAAATTTAAGCTCAAATCCAACGATGGAAACAAACCAGCGCAGATGTCTGCTGAGAAATACCCCCCAAATTACCTGTGGTAATGAATTTGCTGACGGTCAGTTGTACTAGTCTCGCCGTTAACCACCCAGCTTAGCTTAAACTATCGTTAAGTCAACAGCAATTACATACATTTCCTGTTGGGATTTTCACTATAAGGTTTAAATAACGCCCGTCAAACGATGTTATATGGCTTTTATCCAGGTGAAAAGGACATAAATGCAAATGTTAAAAATATCTCAAGTTAAATTTAAACTTATATTAACTGACATATGTAAATATATTGTATATTTGCTATATTTCGATGTAGTTCAAACTTTTATTTTGGCACAACTTTCCGGTGTCATATCAGAATTTCGTTGTCTAGCTTCACTATGTGACAAAGCAGCGAAGAGCACGCGGTTATGTGGATGTGATGTCATATGACCCGCCCCTCCAAAAGGAAAATGAATCACCGTTGGCCAATAGTAAAACGCGGACACACACGCGCACACAAACGTGCACGCCCACAAACACAACATGATTATAACAAATATGAAAGTTTTAGGGAAGTTTACATACATTCGTCACGGACATTATTGTCATGGTAATTTGGGGCTTTTCATGATTTTTTCGATTTTTTCTTTATTCAGGTTGGTATGACTGGACAAAATCCTTTAATTAATTTAAATAAACAAGAACTGTGTGCACAAGTTTGTGTTTATTTTGGATTTTCTATAACCCATACAGGGTATATATGAACAAAATCCCATTAATGATTGGTTAAAGTTACATCTCGACCGCTGATATTTGACCAATCTTTTTGGCAGATTTGGTAAAGTTTTAATTGGTTTCCTGGCACAGATCCGGCTATTAAGCATAGTCCACAAATTATCAACAGAGGTTGAAGTTGGGGTTTTGGGAAGGCCATTTTAGAAACTTAATGTTAGCCTGCTTTATCCATTCCTAACCCATTTTTGATTTGTATTTGGGATTATTGTCTCTTTGAACACCCAATTGTGTGCTCTTCCCTTCTTTATTATTCTAACCACTTTGTGCAGTGTACCAGTACCACTGGCATCAAAAGAGTCCTAGGGTGTAATGCTACCACCACCATGCTTGACCAATGAGAAAAGTGTTCCTAGGTTTAAAAGCCTCATCATTACTACTCCAAACATACTTTTCGTCATTGTGGTCAAATAGCTCAACTGTTCTCCAGAAGCCATTTGGTTTGTCCATGTGAAGGGCTGCAAACACTAGTCGAGCCTGAAGGTGTTGACTTTGAAGCAGCACCTCTCAGGCCTCGTCAAGTTAAAGGACATTGTAGAACCTTGAGCTCTGCTTATTAAAAGATCTAATTGAGTATATGAATATATTTTAGCCTGTGTGTAAACATTTGATCCTGTGTGGACTACAGGAAATCAAAAATAAATTGTGCAAACAACTCTCATTTCCTATAGTCATTAAAGATGTAAGTTGTACAATCATTCAACTCTGGAAAAATAACTGTTCAAATCATTAAAAGTAGATTTAAACTTCTGACTGAAGTGAACATTCAAAGGGACCATGGAAAAC